GTCCTCCGCATATGTTCAAGCCACATTAGCATTTGCTGACATATGCCCTCTCCATCCTCGCCACCCAGCTACCTTCGTCCTCATCATCCAAGCAAAACCATCAATGACAACATATCACCACAGATGGTGGCTCAAACAGCCACCTTCTCGCCCATCTCATCACTCATGAGTCACGCTGATGAAGTCTGTGAATGGTAGGATATGATATTGGAGGTTCAGGTATGTGGCTCATCACACACTGTTATCATCTTATTGTTTTATCTACTCATAAATCATTAAGTCATTTGCCTACCTGTTTGCATGCTCAGGCCACAGCTTAGGCCAGGCCAAGCTAGGGCCATCACTAGCTACAGGATATGCATTTGTACCACCACACGACACCCCGGCACCAGAAGTTGGGGCAACAGCTGTCGAGGATTGGCTCCAGGACAGCATACCAGGTACAATACACAAGTTACAAATGGCCACGATAAAGGTGCGTTTGTCACAGACATTTCATGATGGTGTCTACATTTACGATGCTAATGTGGTATGTAGATCTGGGGTGCACGAAATCAATTCACACCCTCTGAAGCCCTTCCTTTGCAGACAGCAATTTTTTGGGTCTGGTTCTTGGTTCGAACCCTTGCTGAACCAGAACTGGACCATTATTGGACCGAACCGATGGTCCGGTCCACGGTTCTGCTCACTGAGAGAACTGAACCGATGGTCTGGTCCACGGTTCTCTGGATTTCCTAGAGAACCGGACTGAACCGGACCTGTCCATCACTATCACCTACAGCCTCAGGTAGTACATTAATAGCTGTAATGTCCTTAGCCTTTACAAAGCCAAGTGAACTCCAGTTTCCAAGATGAATGAGAGCACATTCTGTGTGTTCTGGAGGCATGCAGATTGTCAAGAGGAGGTTCTGTTGACAAGTTGTCTGTAATTTAATCAATGGCATTGTAGTAGGCTATTAGCAACCAATGCCATAATTATTTAAAAAAATATGATTCTGAATGTATTACACTGCTGACAATATAAGAGTCTTGTATTGATTGACCATAATGCCATGTATACCTACGTATTGTCACCGCATATATGTGGCTGAACCTGGAGTAGCCTTTGACTGGGCAGCTAGCTGTATGGGTGGTGCATTCCCAAGAAACTGGCATTAATGCATCCCTTTCAAACACTCAGACAGCTGGTGTACTCCGGATTTCTGTCGAAGGAATAATACTTACTATCATCTCTTCTAAACCAAAGTTATATAACCATGGGTATCAATCATACAAAATATTTTACTGTGCATTATTGATGCTGGGCGCGAAACCCACCCGCGCCCCGTGCGAGTAGTCAAATACCGAGTACCCTAGACAATCAGTCACGAACGTTCCAGGTTAAAATGCCATGCGATAAGGCACTACTCACATGATCTCATAAATGCATGCCCTGCAGCACGCGACTCATCAGCAAAACATCCAAGAAAACGAGCCGAATACCCAAATAACTCACCAATAATGACAATTCCTTCCATGAATGCATCGTCCAGGCCAATGATCCCACCAATGCAGTTTCTGCGCTGGTTCAGGCGACGTACATTACATGACGATACGCTGACTTACGTTGACCCATACCCATCTTGTCCGAGCTTAAAGTCCTGGATATTGATTCCGAAGTCGTGCCCACCAAGCGAGAATGAAATCGTGGGGTTGGAGTCGCACGGGAAGGAGAAGAAGCCGGAGCTGTAGTTCGCTGCGGGCCCAGCCCCGAGTATCTACGACTTATCAGCAAGGTGGCGAGGGAAGCAAATAGCGAGAGACTGACATTGGCGTAGATCAGATTTGCCAATGTCTGTGAAACGTATATAAAACTAGAACCTGTGTCAATCACCTGTTCATATGAAATGAGGTGAGCCTGAGTGAATTCCCGGCTGACGAGTTGAACCTTACCGCATCGACGTTACCAGAGACGTAGTTCCCTTCGACAACAGCTCCGTCGAAATGCACTGTCCAGTATGTCTGCCAATAAAAACCAGTTAGACAGGGTGATTCAAGGCGCGGGAAGATCAACCTTGGAAATAACTGAGACCCATGTCAGAGGTCCTACCGCCTTGGACATGTCGTAACCACCCAGAGTTATCTAAAAAATTCTTCTCGATTACGGTTATATGAACGATAGTACGCCACGTACCTTCGACCCGCTTGCCTTTCCTCTCGTTAAATGCACAGAGAAGAATGGTGCTTCGATCTTTTCCTGCATGATTAGGTTCTCGAAGAACGTTGGCTTCCCTGACGTTGCGATGGAGCTGAAACCGAGCCCGAGACACCCAGAGATCCGGTCGGAATCGAAGTTACTCGACACATCAGTGACAGCACCAAAATATTGGCTGTTGACCTTTAAGCCGCCCATGCCGATCGTATCGTACGCAAGAGTTCCTTCCGCATAGCTGAAGCCCTCCTGCCCGACAACATCAACCCAGCACCGAGATAGCGGGAGGGAGACGCACATAATTCACATTGAACACATTCCCTGTAGTCCTGTAGGTTGAACTCGCAGCGGCGTTATATTGTGGGGTCCCGCAATCGCCGCAGCCCACAGGAATCCAGAGATCTGCAGAACATGTGTCAAAGGCCACTGAAAGCTGTTGTGACTTCTTCCCAAATTCAAGTGGGCCGTAGAACGGGACATGGATAGCCCTCTGTATCTCATCCGTCAGGGGGTCAGTCGCACTTTGAGCAGCGGCATCCATCGCAGAAAAGCTCATGTTTGCCTGCTGCGATATTGTGGTTGATCCGAATAACACAAAACCGGATAGGTCGCTTGTCGTATCGGTGAACGCCGCGTCTGACAGCGCATCGAGCCCAGGATCTGACAGTGCATCTGGTAGCGCCACGAGGTTCTTGCCGGTCAAAAAATCAAGAGCGTTCTGGTATTTTATTTGGAGGGCTTCTATCTCGGCCATCTGGGTATACAAGTTAGTCTCGTAGGAAGGTTTATGAGACAGAAGCTCACCACAGGCTGGATATTGAAGACTGGAACGACGGTCGAGGTGATCAAGTCCTGGGTGTGGTTGAACGTTCCAAAGGGATCCCGCATGTACATTGGAGGATAAAGCATCATGTCATACACGGGAGAGCCCAACACGCCTACAGTCAGGAAGAGAAAGGAAACGGGGAAGCGGGGAAGCATGGTAGTGGACAAAGTAAAGGATGAAGAAACCCCGATGGAACTGAAAGTGAAGCAAGTCTTTTAAATCCATTAGCATAAAATTTCAATCCGAACTAGCAGTGTGCTCCAGTAACATGGCGACCTGAGCGGAGCCGCCAGCCCAGATTAAACACCTGCATTGAAAGAAAGGGTGGTGGCAACACCGTATTTCACTGAAGCCAGACCTTGGGCAGGTAAGATTCATATCAATGAGTTAGTCGGATCAGATAACAGGTAACTTGCCACTGCCGCAGAATTGAATAGCGCTTCACTAACATATCAGCCTGAGCTAACCTTCCAGCCTAGATCAGAATGTAAAAAAAGGTCAAGACAACACTGCATTTGGCCGAAGCCATACATTGGTTGTATGACAGGAAATGTGCTGCTGCTGCCGCTAACTCGTTAGCCAGAACTTTAAGCGAGTTTTGATAAAACCGAACCACTTCGCCTACACAATTCTCTATATACCTGTACGGGTCTGCGAGTACAACGCAATATATCCAGCCCACCCTAGATGAATTGCACATACTGGGTTGCACTACACAAGTAGTGGGGGATGATTCTAGGTGTGACAATATCGTAAGGTAAGTGGTTCCAGGGCATTGCGAATAGTTAGTGACAATTTGTATCCATGGCACCTCTCACTCCGCCTTGAGCCTATCTTTGGGCTTTGCTCCCAACTTCTGACCCTTACCAACACCAAGCACCTTGCGGCGCATGCGCATCATATGGGAATACATCACCCACAGTCCTACGAGAACCAGGAGTCAGCGACCAAATGCAAAATAACATGCACAACTTACCAGGCACCCAAATTGCTACCAAACCTGCCTTGACCCAGTCCTCGGTGCTCCACGCTGCCCACTTGCCGTTGCTCCACTCTGAAATGGTGCTCAACATGACTAGAGCCTCGCTTCCTGCGCCAATGGGATACAGGACATAAAATGTGGAATAGCGCATCCATGTCAGCCATGAAGGCACGCCGGAACCTGCAAGCGAGAGTGCGTAGTATGCATAGCGTGGCACTTCGGTCAGCGCCCAAGCAAGGATCATAGTGGTATAGACCGGGCTCGAGTGAGTATTAGGAAAGCGCTCGACGATTCCCCAGACCAAGATGAGACGCGATGAGACCTGGACAACAGTTGTTGGGAGCGGGGACCGCACAAATCCAAAAAGGACATGCAATATTTCAAGGGCGGCAAGCGACTGCACAGGTGCAAGGGCAGAGAACGTGGATTCGTATGTTGCGGGGATGTATGAATGCAAGAAATATGCGAGAGTTGTGGAGAAATTGTTGGTTGCTTTAGGCTGTGGTGTCAACAATGTTGCGATTGAAGTCGGCACATATGAAGCAAATGGTTTGAAGAAGTCGTGTACTGAACTTGAAGCGCGTTGACCTCTGAATACGGCAAGAGCGAGGTAAATGACATAGGCCCATCCTGCTGCGGATAATGCATTGAATGCAATTAAATAGAATCGCACAGCGAGAGAGGGTCCTGTGAACCATATCCATGAAGTCAATTTGCAAGTTTCAAGTCTATTGTCGCGTTACTTACCTCGTGAGCGGGTACTTGACATTTTATGGTCGTTACTTGGCATCTTGAATCCTGTTCGTTGCAATTGGCAGGCTCGCTGTAGAGACTTGATAAACAATCCACCTACGGTACGAGCTAGCAGGGATAACGGTTGTCCTCTAGGGTTTACAGTTGTTGGTATGTTCGAACGAGTTGTTTTGCCCAACCCCTGACCACGTGACCCTCGAGTGCCACGTTCATCACACCCTTTTAAGTTTGCTTCGTGCAAGCTCAGTGACCGAGTACTTGCTGTATTGTGGTCAACAACGTTGACAATAAATACAAGCGAATACAGAATCGAAAGGGAATCAATAAACAAAGGTACATCACTCTTTAACTTTCTGCAAATTATCAGAGCCTCATCCAGAGGCTGGAATATTAGTGATTCCTTGTGGATGAGTTCAATTATGGCCTGGTGTTCAATGTAGGTACATCACGAATGAAATAAATAAAAACATGAAACAACTGCCAAGGAAAGGCTCAGCTCAATGCAAGAAGCATCTTCCGAGGATCCTCAATGTAGTCGCGGACCTTCACTACAAACGGCGCACCAACGCGTCAGATAACGGTCACGTGAGATAGAATAACGGAGAGAGTACGAACCTAGGAACGTGACTGCCTCCCGACCATCGAGTAATCTGTGGTCATAGGTGAGGGCGACGACCATGATGGGTCGGATGACGATCTGGCCGTTCACAACGACAGGTTTGTCTTTGATCGCGTGCATGCCGAGCACAGCAGATTGTGGCAAGTTGATGATGGGTGTTCCATACAATGAGCCAAAGACACCACCATTGGAACTAAGCGTACAAAATTAGTATTAGTATGGATTGAGAATCAATGAAACTCACATGGTGAAAGTGCCTCCTGCCATATCCTCGAGAGTCAATTTACCATCCCTGGCCTGAAAACAATAAGTAAACTGCAGGAGAATACGATATATATGGTGCTTGCCTTGTTTCCAAGAGCGGCAATCTCCTTTTCGATTTCAACAAAGCCCATGCCCTCAGCATTCCTCACCACAGGGGTGACTAAGCCCTTGGGCGTCGCGACAGCGACACTCAGGTCAACAAAGTCATGGTAGACGATCTCGTCGCCCTCGATGGATGCGTTTGCAGCAGGAATCTCTTTGAGCGCCAGAGCGCATGCACGAGCGAACGCGCTCATGAAGCCGAGCTTGACATCGTGTTGTTTGAGCACTTCGTCCTTGTACTTCTTCCGCATCTCCATGAGAGAGGACATGTCGATCTCATTGAAGGTCGTGAGTGAAGCGGCAGCGTTTTGCGATTCCTTCAAACGCTCAGCAATGCGCAGGCGCATACGGTTCATCTTAACCTAAGGAAGGAAGCACATCAACATTACTAAGACAGGCATAGCAATACTGCATACTCTTGTCTCGCCCCGATTGCCAGGGGCCTTTGGTGCAGGAGGAGGTGCTTTCGACTTGTCTTCCTTTGGTTTCGAATCCTGCTTCTTCACCTCCTTCTTGGACTCTTTGGGTGCTTCTGGAGGGATGCCGCCACTCTGCTTGTCAGCAGCTGATGGTGCACGCGGCTCTGGTATCGTCTTGTCCAGTTGCTGATCCTTAGGTTCTTCAGGATCTGTCTTCTGCTCCTCAGGAGCAGCAGACGCTAGAGTCATGTGAAAATGTGATGAAGTAGCATGTCACGTAAGTTACACGGGGCTTACCACCGCCTTCGCCAGGTGCAATTATGAAGAGGTCCTGGCCAACGCTGACAGTGTCTTCCTCCTTTGCAAGCAACTCCACAATCTTCCCTGCTGTAGGCGCATTGACACTGACGTCAATCTGGTGTGAGGAAGGATTAATGCTTTCAGAGGCGCCAATGAGCTGATACCCGCCTTATCCGTCTCAATGGTCGCAACCTCTTCGTCAACCTCGACGGTATCCCCAACCTGCTTTGACCATGATCGTAGTGTGCCCTCGGAAATAGACTCGGCCATCTGTGGGACCTTTACGGTCTTGGAATGCAACTGTGCGCGTCTGATATAGTTGGCGACTTTCCTATACATACAAGAAAACGGTCGTTCAAGTCAGCGATGTTAACAAGAGAAAGAAAAAACAGAGAACACGCACCATCCTTGCGACAATGATACAGCAGTGTATTGAGCACCTCTACTAGCGAAAAATGCACGACTGCGAGCAGCAGCGATAACTCGTTTCGATAGCATTTCTATAGTCAAGAGATGCTAGACAATACCTAGATAATAGAAACAGAGAACGCTTCTGCACTGTGCTGTGCTGGACGATGAGTACGGAACAAATTGGGTAGACACGGTTGGTGATAATAATAATAATACGTGACAGGTCGCTTACCATAAGTAGGTTGCCATGAACCTGGCAGACCAATGATAGTGGACACAACGTCACGGCCAGGTGAGTAGCCGCACCAGCTATACTTAAGCGTCTAACCTTGACGCAAGTTTGGAAGTAGAAGAGTGGAAGTCACTAATCATTCTAGTAGCTCATCGTCCTCAAGGCCACTGGCCCCGCCGTTGTGTCCGACCGACCCCTTCCGAAGCTTCCCGAGACTACAGCTGGTCACCGACAACCATAAATTAGTAGTATAGGTACGGCCCCCGTGGCACGGTCCGTGCTCAATTCAGTTACTAATGATATTTTACAACTGGTCATTTTTCATTACAGCGCTCAAGCCCAGGAGTCGGCGACTCACTCCGAGGCCGCCTGAAACTCCGCAGCTCTATCGTATACTCGTTGAATATTCTTGTTGAACTGGTTCAACAAACTCCCTGATGAGCATGAGAATCAGAATCAACTTGAATGGTTCTCCTGCATACGTCGGTCCGTCCAACGGATAACACAGCTACGATCGATTCGGAACTTCATCCGGGAGACGGCGAGCACAAGCAAAAATTAATACCGCTCTAGGATCCGAGTATATGCCACCTTTGGTTGTTGCCTTATGGCTTTGTACAGAGGGCGATCTCGGGATTTGGAGAATATATTTTATCCAACCACTCTATATCCGAACTTGTCTTCGACGACTTCGCCCTAATACGAAGGAACGCCTATCTTTATTCAATTGACAATAGGTCTGACTAGGGGAGACTGCACATTCAAATGACTCTCCGTCGATAAGTACGCGGACTTAGTAGCTGTTGCAACTTGCCAATGTCCGTTCTGGTTGCATTCTTCGGCAAAATTCATGGACATTGACCACACGGCCGCCTTCAGCACCACAGCTTTGATCGATCTGATCCCTGAAACTCGAACTTATCCGCGGTTCGTAAATAAAATGAAGACACGGGTCAGCTGTGGGATCTGGTTGGTTGAATACAGAACAAAGGAATGCCTAATAAATTATCCAAGAGTGTCCTGGCGGCGTCGTAACGAAGGCAGGGGCCTCGAACAAGAAATCGACGAATCGATGCGGCGGTTAAATAAACTGTCCAAGACAATGCCGTTGTGCAAGGTGATCTGCCAGGAGGTCGTCAGAACCCAGCATTAAGGCCAGAGTACGTACAAGGAAACAGAAGGACCGGCAGCAGCCGGGGGGTCGTTGCGCTGGCAGATTCTCATAAATCATCGGAAGCTCCATTCTAGCAAGACGCCAAGCACCACAGCTGGCAAGATAATGGACTCAATACGGCAAGTAGTATCAGCTGAAAGAACATTGACTGAATCGTGTATCTTACAGAACCAGAGTAAGTAGAAGGGCTAATATTCAATTGCGGAGCCAGAATCTATCAAGAAGTAAATTGCGATATAGAAGAAGGGAGACACAGCGTCATATGTGCTGCTCCGGACCACTCTCTGCACGAGATAAAGCTGATGAGTAGGGGGACATGTCATGTTTGCCACAGATAACTGTTGTGGTGGTGTTAAGCATGCGGCGAGAGCAATATGTTACATATCATGATATCTGGACGTGTATCGTGCTCCTCGTGTATACGCTAGAAGAACTGGAAGACAAATGAACGTGGGCCATAGGCACGGTAGAAAGTTTACCTTGTTGTCCTTGCATGTCGTTCAATCTGGACGGCTGCCTCCGCGTGCAGCTCCATTGAAGACGTGACGAGATGAAAACCGTAGCACAACCAAGGTGCAACTGACATACCACTTTGAAGGAAAACCTGAAAAGATCAAACTGTCCCCACTCACAAGCGCACGACCTCCAGTCGGCCCTGAGTGGCGCAAGCTAGAAGGAAGAAATAGATTAGTCTAGTACGATGAGGCTCGCAGCGAGGTGTAAATTATTGACGTCACGGCTGGCCTTTACAAAGGTCTTACAAAATTATCCCATCTCGAGAAGATAGCCAGACAAGACGCAGAATGCACTCAAAGCATCTTGGCACCCGTACAGTGTAATTCACGGTTGCAGGGGATCACTTTCGCTCGCGAACTTATGGATAACTTGCAGCCACATCACACTCCGAGAGGAACATATACATCGTAAGCACATATAATACCGAGGACTTTGTGGACTTACTTATCCGGCTGCCAAAGTAGGTGGCGACACTAGTACTAGTGTAGGGTTCAAACTTCAAAGGAGCCTTAATATTGCTAGCGATAGCGTAGCGAGGGATGTGATTTAGGAACCGTCAATCCAAACCTTCTAAACCACGGCATGGTCCACGAATACCCATTTTTATGTTGCCTTCTGTGGCAAACTCAATTTGTTATCAGCGGGTACCATTGAGTGACCGAAGCTTCGTATTTCGAGTTCCTTGATGGATATGACGAACTGTACGTGTGTTGTACTGGAGCATAGTATGTCACATCCATCGGAGGTTTTGTGTAGCGTTGCCAAACCAGTGACCATAAAATGATAAATGCCCTGAACATTGAATGATGCGAGACAGAAAACACATAGAAGATGTCTTGGTAAATGGGGCAGAGTTGCAAGAATGCCTGAGAAAAAAAGCACAAAAATTGGTTGGAAGCACATCGTACTAGCACCGGTCGCAATTGAGTTAGAAGTCATCGCATAGAAAGAAGAGCGGGATCACATTATTAACCAGCATTCATCGCGACCAAATATCCATCCCGCTCAGTCTTCTCGCCTCCTTTGGCTGTTGCGGCGTGTCACTCGCATTGAACGGGTTCCGTTGAGCTGCCTGCGGCGGAGCTTGTACGGCCGAAGCCACACTTGGCCCATAAAAGGATTGTGGACCCGGTTGTGACGTCTGAGTAGCTTGCCTTGAGGATGATATACTAGCTCCCTGAGCCGCACTACCTCCACCATAGGACTGATATTGCTCAGGCTGCATCGGAACGTAAAGCGCCCCGATATCTGTCCGCTGAGTCAGCGGGTCGAAAGGTGGATTCGACGCCTGCTGTTGTGAAGGGAATGCTGTGGGGTACCGCGCGCCGGTACCAGCAGGGTTCCCTGCATATGCCTGCGTCGGACTAGTCACCATAGCGTTGGGATTGTACCCGCTCGCAACCGTATCGCTGCGTGCAGCAGTCCGGACATTCGACATGACAGTCTCCCTTCGATCATCGTCCACTATAATTGTGGGTTGGTAGGAGTGCGATAACTTAGAAGGCGGCGGGGGGTAACGGGTGGATGCACCCCACCCAGACATGCCGTTTGCAGCAGCAAGCTCAGCCTGTTGTTGCAGATATTCGAGCTGAGGGTACGGCTGCGCTGCGCTCGGCTTGCCCGCCTGCCGCCTTTCCCATTCGCGCATGGCATCATCCCGGTTGAGCACAGGTGTCAGTGCGTTCCGTCCGGCTATCGCATCTTGGTTCATATGCTGCAGCCGCGCCAGCGCAGGAGGAATCATGTCGTTATGGTTGATAGTATTGGCCCGTGCGCGCGCATGGGGTGGGGGGTAGTGTGAGGTAGCGGGTGGGTTGGGGTTGAGCATCCCGGTTACACTGATTCCTGTCCCTTGCGAGTAGCTAGCGCCAGCAGGGTTGAGGGCACTGAGCTGTGCAGGCTGCGATGACGAGAAGGTGTGCTGCTGCTGCTGCTGTTGAGCTGGAAATGACGAGGGCGCAGATGCATCCTGTGGTGGCTGGTAGGACAATGGCGGAGGTGGTGGCTGCTGCTGAGGCTGCTGTGTCTGAGAAGTAGGTGGCTGCTGCTGCTGCGTCTGCGTTATGTACGGGTTACGGAATACATTGTTGGCCGCCTGAGATGCGGCTTGCGCCTGCGCAGTGTAAGCTTGATGTTGAGCAAGCTGCTGGTTGTATGACGCTGCATCCTGGAATGCCCTGGTGCCCTTGGGCTGCTGGGGAACAAGACCACCGTATGGCCGCTTCGGGTCTGCATTGCCTGACGTGGATGGCAACTGTGTAATCTGGGCAGCGGTGTGTCCATTAGGCTGTAATGATCTGTCAGTAATTTTTTTTGAGAAGATCGATGGATAAGATGACGAACTTGGAAAGGCTTAGTGAACTTTTCACCGGTGATAAAAGGGTGCATCCTAGCCTGCTGGGGTGACCATCGTTCTATAGGGTTGAGATTGAGTAGACCCTGGCAGAAGTCGATGAATGACGCTCGATTGTTTAATTCTGCAAGGCCACGTGAGAACAAGTCAGGCAAACGCCGAGAACACTTGATCTTACCTTTTTCCACTTCGTGCCCCTGCCGAGACGATGACTTGAACGTTGGCATCGGTGCAGTGTTGACAATTTCCGGAAGCGTATTCGCCTTGAAGTAATGCTTCCCTGGCTGTTCCTTGGTGTTGTGCTCACGGGAGTACTGCTCCAAGGTTTTGAGGCGGTACTTCTTCTGGCCATACACATCTACGTAGGAGTCGAAAAACTGCTTTGTTTGCTTTCCTATGTCCAGCATGTATGTTGGAGGCATCCTGTGATCACAGGATAATGCATCAATAAATGTTGGTAACCCAGCCAGTGAAACGAAATACGCACCCAAGCATTTCGACGATCCGGGTTATCTGATTGTACTCGCTCGTTCCGGGGAAAAGCGGTAGCCCCAAGAAGAGCTCCACGGCAATGCAACCCAATGACCACATGTCAATCGAAGATGTGTAAGGAATTCCGAGGATGACTTCTGGCGACCGATAAAATCGCGACTGGATATATGTGTACACCGTCTGTCGTTCATGACACGCTGATCCAAAATCAATAACCTTGATTTGGGGCGATTGAAGCCTGGTAAAGGGATTGAGTACGGGAAATGTCAAGAAAAAATATGAAAAAATACGATTTGAGTAGGATATTTTCTGGTTTCAAATCGCAGTGAATCAAGCGTGCATCCTTGAGCACAGTCATAGCATCTAATAGCTGAGCAGTAAACACTTTCACGAGTTGCGTGCTCAATCCTTGGAATTGGTTTTGCTTGATCAGCTCATAAAGGTTAGATGAGAGCAGCTCAAATACAAGGCATAAATGATTTCGATGAATGAACGAGTCACGAAGTCGCAATATATGATGCTCATCATGTGGATCACATGAATTGTTGAGCTACGGGCAGTAATGTAAACATCATTTCATCATTGTTCGTAGAGAAACGCACCAGTTCCAGTATTGTGACTTCCATCATACTTTGATTGAAGTACGCAGGCTTGTTTTTTACCACTTTCACTGCCACGATCTCGTGGGTCTTCATGTTCTGACATTTCACCACCTGACCAAAGGTTCCTTGACCGAGAATATCCAGAATGAGATATCGACTGCGAACAGTTCAGTATATCGCTGAGAGCATGTGGCATCAACGTACTTGTGACCATCCTCGTTTCCCAGCCAATCATTGACGTAGAGAATATAATCATAATCCTCGTTGTCGTAACCTTCATTGTGGGCGGGCTTACTCGGTTTGGTAAGCACCCTCCGCGGATTGTGCGCCGATTCGTATCTGAACTGCGGGTTACAGATGTGATACGTCTCGAGGATGTTGGTTGTCAATTGTCTCAGTGGCTATGTCACTGGATGTCAGAGCTCGACCGCAGTCAAATTAAAACCACACGCACCGATAAAAATACCCCGTTGGCATCCATTCGCCTGCCCGAAGGCTGAGCATTTACGTAAGGTCTAAGATCGCGCGTATCACGGACCCTTCTGAAACCAGAAGCTCGGCGTCGATGCTGCGGCTGATCAACGACCATGGGCTGGTCTTGATAGTATTGGTTGGCCGGACTCTGGGGGTGAGCAAATGACAGAGGAGTATTTGGGGTGGAGATGGAACTTTTGATAGATGCTTGGCTTGATAGATGACTCTGATTTTGGTGTGGAGCGGGACTGGAGGAGTCCATCGCATACGCAGCATATGCAGCCTGCGCAGCACTCTGCGGAGTGTACGGGGATGATATTGGTGGCGTTGAGGGTTCGACCTTGGTTTGAGAGGTGCCGCGGGCATGGGAATGATAGGCAGATGAAGTGTTAGGCCTCTGAGCATCAGATGATGAGGCGTAGAGGTAAGGGGTGGTAGACGGTGAGTACTGGGCTTGTTGAGAGTATGGATCCAGGAGTGAGTTGCCCGTACGCATTGGTGAACGTCCAGAACGGGGGGTAGGATCATGCTGTGTAAGAGCTCGCTTTGGCAGGTTCCCACTGGAACCATTATAATACATTTCTGAATACGGTTCGCTGGATACAGCTGTGGGAGAAGCACTGTTGTTGGGGGGAGGGGGACCTGGTTGAGATTGGTGGAAGGCAACGCCGGATGGGTAGAGGGAGTTTGGTGTTGCAGCCATGTGCCTCGAACTAGGAACAGGTTTGGGCGTCAAGGTTGAAAGCGCCCTCAAGATCTTCTGGTTGATGGTGACGACGAGCCCTGGAAGATCCGTTACCAGCTCCACTACCACCACCCAATGACGCACTCCTCGAAAGCTGGTTCAAACCGGTAGAAAGGAAAGATGAAGATGTGATGCCCGTTGGTTGATCGTGGTCAAGGATATGAGCCAGGCGAGGCTGCCTAGTAGATGAGCCAGGTGATTGATGCAGGGGCGGCAATCTCTGACCGACAGTTGTGAGAGACTGTGGTGGTGGAGGAGGCGGTGCACTGGGATAAAGATAGGATGCTCTGGCAGCGGACTGAGCAGCCTGAGCAGATGAAGACAAGGGTTCCAGATGAGCGTGAGTTTGCCAGCGAGGGAGATCAAAGTCTTCGTTGGTGTTGGTCATGTAGGCAAGTTCGGGTTCCGACATACTCTGTCTATGAGAAAACAGTTAGTACCGCTGCTGTCTCAGAAAATAATAGTAGGCCGTTTAGTTGTTTCGTGGTCGCCGTTGTCGTCAACGGCAATGACAGGAAATAAATGGCAGTTAGTCCCAGGCCACAAATGAGTCGAATAGCGCCAAGTGCCACACGGTTCCACTACTATGTGAGGGGTTAAGGGTCGGCTAATCGATCTTAGGCCTCAACAACGAATCCCCAATCAATTTTACTTTTCATTCATAAAAAATTACTACAGTGCCAACTTCGTGCCAACACGAGTTTCATCCAAGTGCTCTAGACCCAGCTAGTACAACACGTGGCCAGGGTTACCTCCGTGGCGAGATCAGGACTTACCAACGATATTTGACAACATGATTTGTATTATATGGAATTCAGATAAAATCCGCCAACCAAATCATGTCATGCCCCCTCGCACATGCTTTGCGCAGCAAATTGGTTGGAGAAGAGATGGAAACCATGCTAGGGCAGAATTTAGGATACTTCTTGGCCGTGTTCATCTCCAAGGCTGCTGAGCGCAGCAACTATGCCTTTCTCTGCATCAAACAATAGCTTAGACCCTTGTCGTGTTGATAGCAGGGTAGCAGGCACATCAACCGATAAGAATATCTGTCGATGAAACCTCCGCGCTGGAATCGGTGGAGTAAAATCAGTAAAGGACACGGCGATCCGAACGGAACAAAAAATGGGCTCCACTTACCAAGACGCTGCGCCATCGAAAAAGATACATCAGAACTTGATGATCGGAACAAGGAGGTAGCAGGTCCAAACCCCTTCCAGAACTCGCTCAGGCCATTGTTGGTGTATAATTGGCTATTAACATCATTTACTTACTGCATGACCAGGTGGTGCGGGCATAGCACACGCCCAATCTTTACCGAGCATGCCAGAGAGGGCTGCGTTCTGCACAGATTCTGGTGGTTGATTCGTAACACCAACCCAAATCATGTATGAGCCCACAAGGCTAGTGATCTGCAAGGCAAGGGCAGGCAAAGATGGGTCGGACGGCGCGACATATTTTGAGGTGACAGAGATCAAGGAAGAAATCCCTTTAGATGGGGCCGCCATGGTGGACGTTATCCGATATAGTGAACAAGCCCCGCAACGCTACAAGCACGAGTTGAGGAGAGTTACAGCCAAGCCTTGGCCAAGCCCTTATCAAAATTCAAATGAGTCACCTGATATGTATTATTAATATCGCATAGGGGGTGTTCGAATTCAACTGGAACCATCATGTCCTTCAACCAATTGCATACGCAATCGACGAGTCCTATGGATGCAAATGGTGCAGTACGTTGCTCACATGGCGAAACTGCAATAAGAAGGACTAGTCAAACATCTTCAAATCCCAATCGGTATGTTCAAAATGGCCTCCAAGTATCGGTGGTTGACATTTGCCGCTCAGTGAGTTCTACACTTGCCCGAGGTCAATCCAGAGCGAGAGGTGTAGATTCTTTTGTGAGGATCTCTCCTATTGCACGTGGAAGTGACTCAAGCGAAATTGCTCAGATTGGGTAGATGACCCTATTTTTTCCCCACAACAGCATAGTTCTGTATCTCCCTCTGTACCTGCATCGTCGAGGCCCCCTCCTTCTCAGAGGCAGAGAGCAGAATCAGCTCGAACATTGAGCACACCCCAGAAAAGTCCTAGGAAGAGGATGGCAGATATAGCGGCCGCCTTAATTGAGCCAGAACTTGAGGCCACTTCAACGCCACAATATGGTAGCCCCCAGCAAAATGCAACTGCCATGAATGACCGAACGCGCTCATTTCTTTTTGGCTCCCAATCCTCTCAGGCCTCGACGATGGGGGATTGGGAAGAGACATCGCCAGAAGATGACCTCGAACAAATCAGTCCGTCCAGAAGTGCGGACCAGAGTCTTGGAAACATAGACCAGAGGACACCAAAGAAACCCAGAGTTGCGTCTGTGGATCAGCGATCTGGTATCCAAATCCCCTTTCCACTTACTCCACCTCAGACATCACGCCGTCGCATCGACAATCCGGACCAGAGCACATTCGAAACAGACTTTTTCCCGCAGACGCCGACCAGGAACAAAGGCAAGGAGCGGGAAAATAGCGGCGGGGCGCAAACGGTTGGTCTGGACTCAGCTGTTACAGAGAGATTGATTTAAATCGTTGTAGACCTCAGGCACGAAACCTCGCATCCCCATTGCCTTCGAGAGCGGAAGCAGTACTTTCAAACGTGATGTCCCCGCGCATGCATCTAAACCCCTCGAACGCACCTCTTCCAACCCCTTTATTGTTGACCAAACTACTGGGGAAAGCATTGCTTCGCATCTAGAAGCACTGGACGCTTTAAAGTCACCGTCATATATTCGCAAAATGGAGAAAAAGCTCAGTGCGCTGGACCAAAGCAATAAATTCAAGGCGAAGTACCTCGAGGACCTAAAGGCTGCAAAGGCAGAAACGGAGAGTGAAAATGCGCGTTTGATAGCGGAAAATGCGGGTCTTCAGAGTGAAAATGCGCGGTTGGCGCAAGCGAATGCGCATCTGCAGGAAAGGCTGCTACAGTAGGAATTATACCCATGACTGTCCATTTTCTGTCACGCTCAATGCCCTTCTAGGTCTGAGCAAAGCAGCCGCGTCAAAGATATCGAAATTGCCGCTATCAAGTCCCGTCGTCCTCCAAATATGTGATTTTATTTTATCGGAATGGTCTCGCTTCTTGGTTATTCTGACGCGGCGTGGAGGGTAAGGGGTTCCTGCTGCTGGGCTACGTTCCCAACATCTTTGCATTTAGTGGAAGTTGAATGTTCAAGGGCGATTTCACATAGTGATCCAGACAATCTACAATGTGTACCGGACTCAATCAACCAGCTCCATAGTTATTCTTCCATATTTTTATCTAGGCACATTTTCGTTCACACCAACTCACTATCGGTTGGTTCATCTCAATCTCACGGGGGGAATCTATGGAGGCATTAATATTAGTGCCATGTGCAAACAGATCAATTTTTCAAGAGCAATTTTGGTCATTCATTTGAGGCTTCTGCAGGGCAGAGCATAAAATCGCTTGCCGTAAGTCCTTTGGAGGTCGACTGGAGAAACTCAGAACCTCAGTCGGTCGTCCAAGCGAGTTAAATTATTCTTCCCCGCCGTTTAGCCCAGATTCTAGAAGCAAGAAGCAGTAACATTTTAGTGCAGTCTTCTTTCCTCACGCGCGATGTGGAGGATTTTCGTTACCGCTATCATAAGCCCCAATAAGTCATAAACTCAGGGCCCTTTCATTATCGTAGCACGCGATGGGCTATAAACCTGCTCCGGGGGGGCACATGGAGGGAAATGTTATCCGGGGACGCGAGAAAAAATTGAGGGCTCAAAACGACGAAAGCAGTATTTTTTGACATGTATTTCGAGAACTCTAGGTACACGATTATGAAGAAAGCACAAAGTAGTAGTCGATCGAGTAATCTGAGAAGAAAAGTTAGGCCGCCGTATGGCCACGCTCCATTGGCATGTACGACACCGACTGTTGAGTTGGCGCCGAATATTTATCAGGAGCGTCGCATGCCGCAAAGAAGCGGGGGAAAAGGATTTAGCCGACCAGCGATGGAGCAACTAGACAGAAATAAGACGATCTGCCTGTAGTGACGATGGCTACGCAACATGTTCTGGTTTAGTGCGACCCCGTTGCCATCTCGTACATGTGCCGCAGCCAGGCGGGCTGCGGGCAGAGCCAGTGCGTTCTAGATGCACGTTTGGAATAAATAAAAACAAAAAAAGAGTAAATGACACCCAGTAACGTCCGAGATCAATCCGCAGCTGTATCCAAAGGCCTTTTCAGGCATAATCTCCGGAAATAAAATGGGTCTCCGTCTGCTGCTGAGCGAGCCGCGCTACAGAACGAGGGCTAAGTTGACCGAAACGCTCTGGATCCAACGGAGAGAGCCCATCAAGGAAAGGGGCTGATACAAGTGCCGTATAGATGGTACAGCTCCGACGAAGGAACAGAAGGAGTTCCGGCCAAAGGGCTCGCTCACTTGGGGAACTTTGCACCAACATGACAGTCCTTGCAGGTTTACCGAAAGCCACCGAGAAATGCCGTGCACAGGAAAATTTGTCTATCTTTGTACAAATGACAGATCTCCAGGCGCGCCTAGTAAGGGACATGGGAAACATGGTGGGTCCAGTAACTTCTAGTATGAGTTCACGTGGAAGACCCTTGACTATTGCCGCTGAACCAGAACTCTATTACTCACCTTTAAATGCAAAGATAACTATATATCAGATCCACCAGAACAAATATCGAGGCCGAAGTATTTTTAAGAGTCTTTCATGTGAACAGAGATGAGAAGGCCTCGAACATCACGAAATGTTCATGACAAGCATCCTGGAAGATCACGTCAGGGTGCAAGAACCTTGTGGGGTTTTGTTCCAGTGCTCCATGATAAGAGATATGTGGGTTGATATTCGGCCCCTTGACAAGGGTGTGTTGGCGAGGATCCGACTGAATTTCCTTCCGGACCTATCATCAGTTTCAATCACATGTATCGACTCGCCGAGTGACAGCCTGTCCTCTGCTGTCCTTCAAATGCACAAGCGAAGTCTATCCAAATTCTGGGGATCTAAGATGGAAAGCGCTTGGCGATGGCTACAGGGACGCTATCTTGAACATCGAACACTGGGTGTCGATAGTCTCCCATGCTTTGACAGGTTGAAAAAGTTGCAGTTCTGGCCCGAGGGGCGCGCAAATCAGCGTCTGAGTAATAAATACTTATGTCAAAGAAAATTGCAAGAAGTGGCCTATCATAGTGACGCAGCTTCGGTGTATACATAAATTTCCTGTGTTTACGTTCACGCGTGAGGATTTTCATAGCACCTAAACGAGTACTCGAAGACTCAACTGTCACTGGAAACGGCATTGTTCCTGTGGGCCATTACTCGGAAACAGCGCTCAGTGGGCATGTTGACGAGATGGCCCAGGGTACTCGGCGTTTACGTGCAGACATGATCCCATCACCCCGAAATTAATGAATCGACGGTCCCGGGAGACTTCATGTAATTGGTATCAAGTTGAACTACGTCAGTGGGAGGTCCAATATGCTATGATTGTATATTCGAAACATATGCATAGCAATTCACTGGATAATGATATACTTATCTGACAGTCTGCGTCCATTTGAAAAAGCGTCTGTGAATGGTAAGTGTACGCTGGTATATGCAAAAATGATAAACAAGGAGTGTTACATATGTCCAATGTGTCATCGACGTAGAGCACAATATCTAGCAGAACAATCTTCGCCACCAAAGGACGAATCTTGTCCACCAGTCTCCACGCCACCCATCGCCGCGTGGCTTGGAACTAATCCACATCGATCCAGTGCCGAAGTGAATTTCTTTGCCTTCTGCTCTCTCCTCCTCGCCCTCCTCGATGTCGGCGGCACGAGCATTCAGAGGTGCGGTAAAACGCGGCAGAGAGCAACGGGTGATGAATGAAGGAAATACAGTTAGTAACGATAACAATTCGGGATTTGGAAGATCCGGAGACGTCCAGATGCGCAAGTAATCCTCTGGATCTTCTGCGACGAATTCTGATCGAAGCGGGGGTAATGATTCGTCTTCCCCAAGTTGATCGTGTGGGGTAATGGAACTTGGGCAATCTTCGGGAGTTTCAGAGGAAGGGATGGTAGCTCCGGAGGATTGAGAAGAAGCAGAAGGGACGGAGTGTGAGAGGGCGGGCATATCTAAAAATGGGTCGCTTGTAGCTCTCGCGCGCTTTACCTGGGTAGTCATGGCAATTGGTGAAGCATACGAACCAATAGTCTCGCGGTGAGCAGATAAAGGTTGTGAGCGGCAGCGCAAGTGCGCAGGCTGTGGCTGATGAGACGCGCAATTGCTGTCGTGCTTCGAGGATGAAACTTCTTCAAAGGCCAACACCTGAAAGGCTGGTTGAGTACATCGACGATGAACGAATAACAATGACATACTCCTTTGAGGACATCTATAGCATCAAGCATGAAGTCTTTCCCACTATGCCGTGTGTAAAAAGTAAGTATGATAGATTTAGATGCCAATGAATGCTTGGTATGCTTACGCAGACTCTTTGAAAACGGCGTCATCAAATTCCCAGCGTATTCGGTTCGCCCCCGCACCGCCAAGAGGCTCTGGGACAACTTGAAGTCGCAGAATTGCCCACAAAGCCTGAAAGAACGGCTTGGTTCCAGGCATGCCCATAGTGCACCAGGTCTTAACAAATTTATCTAATCGGTCAAAGCGTTCTTTCGCAGCTACCGGACCTCTAGGATTTGCTCTAGAATGCGGCATTAATGAACCACCAGGCTGAGTCGCGTTGATATGTGCCTGAAATTCCGCGTGTCGACGGGCATTGACGCTCGCATGGTAAGCAGAACGAATGGATGCCTGAAGGCGTGAAAATGGTGCTCGCTGAGCAGGAGGCAAATTTGCTAGTGTCTGAGTAACTAGTCGCCCAGACGCTTCATCTTGGTTGAAGTACCTGATGACATGAATTATGATTGACAGGACAATCGGTTGAGAATAAAGGCATACCATGCACGACAAAGTTCGGCAAATTTTTCGAGCTCGCTGCGAGAGACTCCAAGAGGGGTGATCGATCGATTTCGAGAAGTAGGGGGCGGCGTTGGGCCAGGGTGACCATTTCTTCGGCCTCTGGGTCTGCCAGCAAATGAAGGAGAGGATGGCGGTAATACACCAGGTTTCGCAGCCGGACTTCCAGGAGGAGAAACAACAGAAGTTGAATGAGGAAGATCATAAAGGAGTGTTTGCGCGTTTGAGTGCGTATTCGTCAATGAAGAATTTTGAGATTTCTGAAAGCGCAGAGGAGGTGGAGGAGGACGCGGACGAGGCGTATTGAGTTGGTAAGAAGGAACTGACATGTTTGACGATACGAAACCAGCTCGATTCGTCAAATAATCCGCCGAAAGAGGTAGCTTGAATAGCCTCTTGAACTCTGACTAGAGCTTGGATAAACCACACACTCGAGATTAAGACAAGAGAGTGAGAAAAAGAAATGTATCGCGATGCGACTAACTGATACAAGCTGGCAATGAAATTGACCCACAAAGCGTTAGATTGTTAGACACAACCTACGTTGAACGGTGACAATGACGACGGCTGGACGATGGCCACGGCTGCGCTAACGACTGCCAGCAAGCAAGGCAACTAATTCCCAAATTTCGGTCACCGCCACAATACCCGAATGTAGTAATGGGTCCAAGTCCTGCTGGCAGAGGTCTGGCGAAACCATGTAAGTACCTTCTTCTGACTACATTCCCATCTGCTGCCAATGGAAGCTAAAACCCTGAACGTTGGCCATCTTTTAGGCCGTGCGGTTCCCGCACCAAAATATCGATCAACGCCGAGCTCTTTGAGATCGACAAGTTATGCATCTTAATGATCACTTTCGATGTGGGCCGTATTGCCCAGCCCTGTTACCTGACATTTGCTCAATCTTAGGAAGGTGGTTTTTCATCAACAAGGATGTATTTCCGTCCAATCGCATCTTTAAATCACCCTTTTGCGTTGCATCCTTCAAAAGCGCTTTGTAATTTCACCGCCTCGCTCAACAGCACCTGATCCGTTAACTGCGGTTTGGGCGCCGTTTGCAGTGGGGCGTTGTCACATTGTCCGTCATGCGGTCCCGTGCAAGGCCAGCGTGGTATTTGGTATGTACTTGCGTCCTTACATCTCGTCAATTATCCAGTGGTCCCACCTCAAAGATGAAGATGTAATTTACTCCGGTATTCACAATAGCATGTCAACTGCAAGGCGAACATGCGTTTGACACGGTGTTGATCAGTGCCTCTGATGCGACGCAGCCGATGTACAGCGCTCAGTTGAACTGCGACGCAAGCGGGTGATTTGTTGTAAGCGATACGTCAAGAGGCCTGATTTTCCAGGCACTGGGCGTCTTTCCGGATTGGACGGCTACCCGTGCCGTGTATGTTGGAGAAAACATGATTTTGCAGAAATGTTCACACTGGGTCCCATGAAGCTGTCAATCGTCATCTGGGTCTTCGTTTGGGACAAGTGTACGCTAGGAGGTTGCTTCTGTAACAGCATGCCCGTTCGAATCTCGCCATTAGCCATTAATATTGACTTTGATAATTCTCAGCGCGGTGTCCGAGGGGACTTGCCAGTACCCAAAGGGAAGCTGTGCAGACTAGCCTCTTTGAAACGTCATGCTCGACACTAAATCGTTCTCGTAAACATGTCTAATGAAATCGATATTCTTCGAACTTGAGGTGTGTAACCGCCCATCTATGGTTGATCCCTGCGGCAATGTCTACCCTGAACAGATGTTCCAATGTAACAACTCCCGCGGGTCTCTTACTCACGTGCGGCGCCCCGTTTGATAGACTCGTTCATGTATGGAAGGATGGTACGTATATTGCTTTGACTGTGCCTTTTGCCACTTTGGCATGTGCTAACCACCTACATCTTGGGATAAAGACATTACATACCTCCCTCTCTTTTCGGCCGAGTACTCATGCCACACGGCCTAACAAGTCCCTACATGGCAAAAACATAGCGGACTTTAAAATAAAACGGAGTGTGAATTTATTCCTCCGCTAGCTGTCGGGGCGGGGCGCGCCCGTTAGGTTAGTGAATTTATTTAATTCCTAAAATTTCTCAGAGGGCTCCTGCGCTGCTCAGTTAACCGGCCGTCGGATGCGATGCAAGCAAGGTTTCTCCAAATTGAATGACTTGTTACCGGCCGCCTACTTTACCATGCAATGAGCTCGCAACAAATAAAATATAATATAATAATAAAAAGTCTCCGGACACACAACTCCTTTAGGTATCCTGGTCACGGTCGCGCTCCCGGGTCAAAGAAGCCAACGAGTTTTAGCAAGTGCCAGCCTATTATCTTTTCCCTACAAGTTGAACCAATTTAATGGTTCCGCTATCTTGTTCACACCCCATTCGGTGCAGAATCTTTTTACTTACTTTGACTATTGCGCCCGTATGTATGCAGCGCGACTGTATTGATCCTTGCCGCTACCTTATCTCGACCTCAGGAATGGTGGACACCGTAGACGAGAACAGTTGATAATATAAATTCTGCTTGCGTAGAACTGGACAAGGCTGAAGTGACGGAATAAAAAAGATCGACTTGATAAAACATTATTATTCTAAAATTTCCTTACACGTGGATTGACCAAAACAAAATGATCCAAAAATGACCCTTGTAACTTCTTTCTGCATACAAAACCTACCCCTGCCCACGTTTGCTTCGCGAGGGTCGTACGTACATGACCTCCGCAAAGGCGCTCCAATAGTCAAATTAGTAAGGGTTTGAGGAAAAGGTAAATAGCCGTGACCGTGGATCTTGGAGATGCGATCACACATTAATATTGACGGGGTGTCATGGCAAAAGGGCAGTATGACGAAGACTGGTAGTCTGGACGTTCAAGTATGTCAATTGTGCGCAATCAACCCTCTGTAGAATTAATGTTGAAGACGTGTGGGACGTACCTACGGCCCATCAAAGTCTACTAATGAGAACCCTAACCATGGCGGATTTCAAAAAATATGCCGCAATGTATGCTCGAATTGTTACGGTCTACACAATATCAGAATGCGTTAACCGACGTCAAGCTGTCGAACTTCTACAGACTTACTCTGTTCTGGAAAAACCTTGAGTGAGCCCCCCAGTAGGGACTGCGGTGTAATGACCTGACATCTATTTCGGGCCTGCAAAGTAGTTGATTGCTGTACAGCCGAAACTTACGTTGATCCTTGAAGCTTTCGTGAAGACGGAAGCAAGGACCCTGATTGGTGGAGAGGGGCCGATTGTCACATTGCAGGGACGGCAAGTCCCTCTGACTATCCCTAAATCGGGGGGAACACGACACCACGCTCTGGGTCGACTGAGTGCAACGGTTGAGATAGAATGGGATGATGAGCCATTCCTGCAACAAGCGTCTATCCTCGTCTATCACGGCAACCAAGAATGAGATTGTTTTGATGGAACTGCCATACGTACCTCTTGACGGGTCTAACCGAGCGACTTTCAAAATAGGTGAGATCCCAAAACGAAGATTGGTTGAGTAAGATGGGTGCAGTATTTCCGCCGCGTGCGACAGTTGAAGAGTCAATGCCACAAGGTCGAGAGAGATCCAATCGGATGAAACAGATGAGATTTCGGAGCGGGTAGACTGCCAGATATATGCCAGCGCGCCGATAGGTCGAAGAAGATGGACTTGGGTAGGCACGAGAAGGCGACGATAGATCGAGATCATTCATTGTTTGGACAAGTCGAATCACTCAGAACGCAGTGATAGCAAAGAAACACGGAACCTTTTTTTCATGAATCAGGTCGGCCGCGGTGTTTCGCGAAATGTTGCCTTGCCGCAATTAGAGTTCTATGTCAGCCTAAGAGATCTATAAAAGCAACGGCACACCGTGCTGATATGATCCTTTTTGTTACACCTTCCAGTTTCGAGCTCGTCTGTGCCGTTACTAGACGTCACGGTATCCCCTGAAGCTAGCGGGCCGTCGCCTACCTCACCGTTCCACCAATTTGCCGGCAACGTACAAAGCCTTAACAACGTTGCCTACCTCGCGCCTTCCTAACCTAACCTTGGTAGTCTGTTGTTTGTCAATATAAATTTGACATTCGTATCTTCACAACCAACCAAGCTGCAACCGCCGATTATAGAGTCAGGTCTAGAAAAGATAGAGATCAGTAGAAGAACAGGTTAGTAGTGTTACCTCACTACCAGAGTGATTTTTTGATATCTTTGTCAAGCACAGTCAACCCTTACAGCATCGCTGATAAGCTTGATAAAAAGTTTCTACCTGTACGGACCCGTTCATAAGCTCTCATATTTTATGGCTCAAAGCGCCACTTGGGTTTCCGTGATGACAGCGGCAATTCCCGACGACCGATCACAGCTTGTTCAGGCTTCCCTGTCTGACGAAACTTCATCATCAGCTGTCTTTCGTCTTCCTTCTATCCATCATTCTTTCAATAATCAAGGTCTTTTCGATACCACGACGATACCCCGTCCAGGAGCGATGGACTTTGCAACTGCTTCACATCAGCCAATGTACAACCAGGCTGACCTCGATCAAGCATTCAATTCATTGCAGACAGTAGACAACTCTTCTCCATCTCACCATTTGTCTCAAACAATTCCTCAACATAACTTTGATCATTCAGAATCTCGAGAGGTCTCAGATCATCCCTCCTATGATCTCTTTTCAAACAATAATAACAATTTTGCCTCTCAGCGGTACCGCGCCAATTCCTCTTCCTCTTCGTCTCTGGGTCCTTCTTACGCTATGAGCCCAGACGGAGTGTACTCTCATGCATCATTTGGCGACTCTGTCCCATCATTTGGCTCCAGCAACACCTACGACATCATGAACAATGTTTCGTATTCCAGTGGGAAGGTCTCTCCATTAACTCCCAATGACGCGATGACTGGCATCCAGCAATCTCCGGTCTTCCCCCACTCCTTGGGTATAAACGGACACCAGAAGGACTTTTCCAACGGCCACGCATACCCGGAACTACTCAACGATCGCCGTGTTTCCGGTGTTAGCGGCGCTGGCTACCACAATGACTTCTCCGATGATTATGGCATGAACGGCGGTGCAGGCTATCCTCCATCGGCCCTTCAACCATTCCAAGATCGCATGCGCTTGCAACCTGACAGTCGCTTTCCCCATTCTGGTCTACCTCCTTCTGTCCCTTCGCATATGGGACACAGCCCTGATATGTTCCGTGGCGTTGCTCCGCAAGCAACGCACTCGTTCCGCCCTGACTCTGGCCTTCCTGGCTACGACGACGTGCAGTATTTTGGAAACCCTCATGCTGACATGTCCCTCCGCATGTCCAACATTGGGGATGGTTTTCCTGGGATGAGAAACGGGCATCCTGGTATGGGCTCCTCCAACGACCTTCAGGCTTTCATTCGGTAAATACTATTACGTTACATTTACCTTCAAAATCTCATGCTTTTGCTATTCAGACCCTACCTCGATCAATACGTACGGACGCCAAACCGCCTCGCGTTTGGTGAACGCACTGTCATTGTCATGTCGAGCAGGGTGGCGCAAAAATCATACGGCACTGAGAAACGCTTCCTCTGCCCCCCTCCAACGGCAATCATGATTGGCAACTCTTGGTGGACTGACGTGATACGCCGCGGGGAAGAGCCAAAACTTTGCCCTCCTCGTGTAACCGTCTGCATATCGGGTGAACCTGTCCCTCAAGAGGGTTCCATCGAGTGGACGTCCGCCTCCGGCAAGATCTTTGATGTAAATGATGCCCCTACAGGCACAACATACATTGGTCGCTGCGTCGGAAAGCAGTTGTTCATCAGTGATGTTGACGAGAAGAAGAAAAAGGTCGAGGCGCTTGTAAAGATCACTGCTCCATCTTCTGACGACGAGCCTGAACGCGTTATCGGAACTTTTCCGAGCCGTCCTATCAAAGTGATCAGCAAGCCAAGTAAGAAAGACAGAGTGCAAAGAATCTTGAGCGTGCGTAGATTCGCTGTGGTTCATGATGGCTTTTGACCGTGATCCTCCAGTATGTATAAACCATGGTTCAACGATTTCACTCTTCCATCGTCTGCGTTCTCAGACCGTCTCGACGAAGTACCTCTGCGTCTCCGGTTCAGGCTCCTCTTTCAAGGGTTCTGACGGTGCCCCTTTAATGGGGATTGATACCCGTGCGCGATCTAGCACGCCATCATTCATTGCACGTACTGCTAGTTGGGGTCAGTTTTTCACTTATGCTTTTTTTATCTTCGCTGACGTTTTCACATTAGATCCGTTTGTAATGTACATTGTCGATGTCAACAAACCAGCCGGCGGAATTGATACCCCTCCCCCACCACCTCCACAACCTGACTACCCTTCGCCTCCACCAAATGCCATTCCTTTCACCAACAACGGCACCCAAATACCAATCTATTACAACCAGACAGTGGTGCTACAGTGTCTGGTCTCGGGCGTCGTGTCTCCTGTCTTGATTATTCGGAAAGTTGATCATCAGACGACAGTAGTTGGAGGAGGCCTTCAAGAAGGCGCAAAGGGTGTTGCAGACCACTATTGCTCACCAGGCGAAGTGTGTGGTGACCCTGTCTCCCAGCTTCATAAGATCGCCTTCGAAGTCTACGACTCAACGAAGGGCATGCCTGAGCCTGGAACCCCCGGTACAACGGGCGCGTTCTTGTCATGCATGGGTGAAAAGGTTAATACCTACCGTCCAATTGAGGGTCGGCTGTGGAACAACCCGCCGAATGCAGGGTCGACATCCCCTATTCTTCCTGGATCTCCCGTAGTTTCAACACCAGCGTCCATGTCGGGCGCCGATTATTTCGGGCAGACTACTGCAAGCGAGCCAGCATCACCGTCTTCATCAAATGATTTTTCAAATGATGGCGGGCGGGTGAAGAAGGCGAAACGTTCAACATCAAGTGCCGGCGTTATCAAGAATCCAGGCCCAAAAGGACGTCGGCGCCCGACCTCCGCCGGGTCTGCATCTTCTGGACGTCGCGGATCTTCCACTGACGCCGGCGCATCATCGGGTGCACTTTGGCAAGTGGATATAGGCGAGACGAGCGTCTGGACTATTGTTGGCACAGGTACTACGTAATTTTCCATTCCCAAAAGTGCAAAACTTAACTTTGAATTTGTCAGATCAAGTGCGATACAACTTCTATGTACCGCCCGTGTTGTTCGACAACCAGAATGCGCCTCAAACTGGATCATTCCCAATCCCGTCGAAGCCCGTCACTCCATTCCCGGCAGTGGTGAAATACCTTCCTCCTGACCGTGCTGCGGAGGCGCCAAAGTCTAACTGCGCACAATCGCGTGGCGTCTTGTCGAAACCTAATCCTCACATATCAAAAATGTTGACTGTATACGGAGAAAACTTCAACAAAGCAGACCCAGTACACATCTTCTTCGGATCAGACCCTTCGCCATATGCCGAAGTGAGGTGCACCGAGGTGTTGGGCTGCCTACCTCCAGAAAACCAAGTTGCGAAACGCCGGCCGATTATCATGATACGACCTGATGGCGTTGTGTTCCCGTCACCTGTTATGTTCCCTTGATTGTATTTATCGGTATATCCTCGGTGCTCGTTTGTGGAGGCCTGGTCTGCCTGCGTGGATATATCCCTATAATTTCGCGATTCCCAATGCTTTGAACATGTTAGGATCTGATAGTTGCTATCTGTACACCATGGACCCGACTAAGTCCCAGCGCAAGACAGTACTATGTAGCCCCCTTGTATCATATCTGTTAGAAGAATTTCGATTTGATGTTTCTATCTCCTGTCTGTCGCCCTAGGCAAGATCTTCTACGGCAAAGACCGTGAAACTGCCTTGTAGGCTTTCATCTTTATCAGATCTAAGCACTGAGTTGGACTCTTGTACGTTACTTGCCATCATATCAACATATTTGACAGCGGTACGCCCACCTATCATCGCTCTACACGCAAACCCCTTCGTCCAAAAACGCTATCTACTAATCACGGCTGTTACAAAACCCAAGCGCAATCAAAGATCATTCTGTCGGGTCCAAAGTACCATCTAAATCACGGGCGTAACTTGCAAGCTTGCCAGCATTCTTCTTGCATATTTCCGCAACCGACCTCTTCCAATTTGGCTCCAAATCCCTTCACCCTTCACTCCAGAATCATGGGTTCTCAATACCTCTTGTTCTCTTCCGCACCTCGTCGCGTATGGCATGCATACATCGAATATCTATGGAACCCGCTTCCTGGCTCCTGGGTCACCCAGGTCGCATATTCATTCCGCATATTAGCGTTCCTGCTTATTCTCCCAGTCGTCGTTCTGACACTCCTGGTGCGTATCCAACCTTGCTAAATTTGTAGATCCTCGCTTCTTTCAATTATTGATATCTCGTTAGGATATTACCTCCTATGTGATCGCACGCACTCTCGGTATTGTTGACGACGTCAAAGCGTCCACAAGCGACCTGCCTGTTGTGACTGCTGAGGGCACGCCCTTGGTCCTCGTTGAAGATACGTCATCTGAAGAATCGTTCCCCGCGGAGCAAGGCAGCTGCATATCTTCGGTTCATCGGCAACATAATACCGACATGAAGAGTACGGGAGTACAGGAAGAAATGAAGCTCCAGGCTTACTTCACGGGAGAGGAGGATCTACGCTTGTCTAGTGTTGGCGTTCTCTCGCCTTCCCCGTCTCAGCCACCGTCACCTATTCTACCCCACGAGAACTTGTCTGGAGAAGATGGATCGATGAGAATGGAAGATCTACGTGATGCACAGGATGAGCCCATGATCCTGCGACGACGGGGCGCCCAAGCGAAAAGTGATGATTAAATCAGCCTTTTTGGAATCGCCGCTAGAACTACATATTTTTTGCACCGTGTACGATGACATGATACCGATCAACGTCCCTTTTTACTCTACAGCTACAGTGATATCGATCAGGAAAACCAACTCGCAAATAAAAACAACTGGCCAAGACGTCAAGTGAGGTGATCAGTAAAACCGTAGCTGATCTCTGGTGAAGACAGGTGGCTTCCAGAT